TACAAAGAGACCATCTCATAGCTGTGAGAGCAATGCCTAGAGAACAGCTGGGGCACGATGGCATAGTGTAAAATAGTCCTCTGTCATCTCAACCACAGAATCATTTCTCTGTCTCTCTCACGCATGCACCCACAGGAGAGGGAGGAGGAGAGACAGAGACAGACACCCACAGGAGAGAGAGGAGGAGAGACAGACACCCACAGGAGAGGGAGGAGGAGAGACAGACAGACACCCACAGGAGAGTGAGGAGGAGAGACAGACACCCACAGGAGAGTAAGGAGGAGAGACAGACAGACACCCACAGGAGAGGGAGGAGGAGAGACAGACACCCACAGGAGAGTGAGGAGGAGAGACAGACACCCACAGGAGAGTAAGGAGGAGAGACAGACAGACACCCACAGGAGAGGGAGGAGGAGAGACAGACACCCACAGGAGAGTGAGGAGGAGAGACAGAGACAGACACCCACAGGAGAGTGAGGAGGAGAGACATACAGCCACCCACAGGAGAGGGAGGAGGAGAGACAGACACCCACAGGAGAGTGAGGAGGAGAGACAGACACCCACAGGAGAGTAAGGAGGAGAGACAGACAGACACCCACAGGAGAGGGAGGAGGAGAGACAGACACCCACAGGAGAGTGAGGAGGAGAGACAGACACCCACAGGAGAGTAAGGAGGAGAGACAGACAAGACACCCACAGGAGAGGGAGGAGGAGAGACAGACCACCCAGGAGAGTGAGGAGAGAGAAGACACCCAAGGAGAGTAAGGAGGAGAGACAGACAGACACCCCAGGAAGGGAGGAGGAGAGAAAAGACAACCCACAGGAGAGGGAGGAGGAGAGACAGACACCCCCAGGAGAGTGAGGAGGAAGACAGACAGACACCCCACAGGAGAGGGAGGGAAGACAGACAGACACCCACAGAGAGTGAGGGAGGAGAGACAGACAGACACCCACAGGAGAGGGAGGAGGAGAGACAGACACCCACAGGAGAGTGAGGAGGAGAGACAGACACCCACAGGAGATAAGGAGGAGAGACAGACAGACACCCACATGGGGGAGGAGGAGGAGAAAACGACACCCACAGGAGAGTGAGGAGGAGAGACAGACACCCACAGGAGAGTAAGGAGGAGAGACAGACAGACACCCACAGGAGAGGGGAGGAAGGAGAGACAGACACCCAAGGAGAGTAGGAGGAGGAAGAAAGACCCAACCCCCCAGGAGAGTAAGGAAGAGAGACAGACAGACACCCACAGGAGAGGGAGGAGGAGAGACAGACACCCACAGGAGTGAGGAGGAGAGACAGACACCCACAGGAGAGTAAAGGAGGAGAGACAAACAGACACCCACAGGAGAGGGAGGAGGAGAGACAGACACCCACAGGAGAGTGAGGAGGAGAGACAGACACCCACAGGGAGTAAGGAGGAGAGACAGACAGACACCCACAGGAGAGGGGGGAGGAGGAAAAGACAGACACCCACAGGAGAGTGAGGAGGAGAACAAAACACCCCCAGGAGAGTAAGGAGGGGAGACAAACAGACACCCACAGGAGAGGGAGGAGGAAGACAGACAGACACCCACAGAGGGAGGAGGGGAGAGACAGACAGAAAACCCCAGGGGAGGGGAGGAGGAGAGACAAACAGACACCCACAGGAGATGAGGAGGAGAAAACAGACACCCACAGGGAAAAGGGGAGGAGAGAGACAAACAGACACCCACAGGAGAGTGAGGAGGAGAGACAGACACCACAGAAGAAAGGAGGAGAGACAGACAAGACACCACAGGAGAGGGAGGAGGAGAGACAGACACCCACAGGAGGTGAGGAGGAGAGACAGACACCCACAGGAGAGTAAAGGGAAACAGACAACACCCCACAGAGAGGAGGAGGAGAGACAGACACCCACAGGAGGGGGAGGAGGAGAGACAGACACCCACAGGAAGTGAGGAGGAGAGACAGACAGACACCCACAGAGAGGGAGGAGAGACAGACAGACACCCACAGGAAGGTAGGAGGAAGACAACAGACACCCACAGGAGAGGGAGGAGGAGAGACAGACACCCACAGGAGAGTGAGGAGGAAAAACAGACACCCACAGGAGAGTAAGGAGGGAGACGACAGACACCCACAGGAGAGGAGGAGGAGAGACAGACACCCACAGGAAGAGTGAGGAGGAGAGACAGACACCCACAGGAGAGTAAGGGGGGAAGAGAAACAGACACCCCAGGAGGGGAGGGGGAGAGACAGACACCCAAGGAGAGTGAGGAGGAGAGACAAAACACCCACAGGAGAGTAAGGAGGAGAACAGCAGACACCCACAGGAGAGGGAGGAGGAGAGACAGACCCCACAGGAGAGTGAGGAGGAGAGACAGACACCCCAGGAAGTAAAGGAGGAAGATAAACGAACCCCAGGAGAGGGAGGAGGAGAGACAGACACCCACAGGAGAGTGAGGAGGAGAGACAGACACCCCAGGAGAGTAAGGGGGAGAGAGAAAAGACAAACCCCCCCGGAGAGGGAGGAGGAAAAGAAGACACCCAAGGAGAGTGAGGAGGAGAGACAGACACCCACAGGGGAGTAAGGAGGAGAGACAAACGACACCCCCAGAGAGGGAGGAGGGGAAACAGACAACACCCAAGGAGGAGGGAGGAGGAGAGACAGACACCCACGAGAGGGAGGAGGAGAGAAAAAACAGACACCCAAAGGGGAGTGAGGAGGAGAGAAAGACACCCACAGGAGAGTAAGGAGGAGAGACAAACAGACACCCACAGGAGAGGGAGGAGGAGAGACAGACAGACACCCACAGGAGAGGGAGGAGGAGAGACAGACACACACCCACAGGAGAGGGAGGAGGAGAGACAAACAGACACCCACAGGAGAGTGAGGAGGAGAGACAGACACCCACAGGAGAGGGAGGAGGAGAGACAAACAGACACCCACAGGAGAGTGAGGAGGAGAGACAGACACCCACAGGAGAGTAAGGAGGAGAGACAAACAGACACCCACAGGAGAGGGAGGAGGAGAGACAGACAGACACCCACAGGAGAGGGAGGAGGAGAGACAGACACCCACAGGAGAGGGAGGAGGAGAGACAGACAGACACCCACAGGAGAGGGAGGAGGAGAGACAAACAGACACCCACAGGAGAGTGAGGAGGAGAGACAGACACCCACAGGAGAGTAAGGAGGAGAGACAGACAGACACCCACAGGAGAGGGAGGAGGAGAGACAGACACCCACAGGAGAGGGAGGAGGAGAGACAAACAGACACCCACAGGAGAGTGAGGAGGAGAGACAGACACCCACAGGAGAGTAAGGAGGAGAGACAAACAGACACCCACAGGAGAGGGAGGAGGAGAGACAGACAGACACCCACAGGAGAGGGAGGAGGAGAGACAGACACCCACAGGAGAGTAAGGAGGAGAGACAAACAGACACCCACAGGAGAGGGAGGAGGAGAGACAGACAGACACCCACAGGAGAGGGAGGAGGAGAGACAGACACCCACAGGAGAGGGAGGAGGAGAGACAAACAGACACCCACAGGAGAGTGAGGAGGAGAGACAGACACCCACAGGAGAGGGAGGAGGAGAGACAAACAGACACCCACAGGAGAGTGAGGAGGAGAGACAGACACCCACAGGAGAGTGAGCAGAAACCACTGGTATAGCAGTGCACCCATGCGGCTCCCAAACAGAGGGGGAATATTAGAGCCAGCATCACACTCTGCTCACTATCATTACATGTAGCTTTTTTATACTATACACTGCATGTGTATGTTGTACATGCCCTTCTTTATATTTTGACTCTAACCTTTAAATTGGATTGTGGATTAGTCCTTTGGGATATAACTAGATAAGTAATGACCCTTTATTGATGTGAAAGGATTTATGGGTATCAAGGGTTAAAGAGGATAAAGCAAAATATAAATATGTTTGTGTTACATCTCAGCACAGAGGACATACTGTACAGTTAGAATTAATTAAAAATAGAAAATGTAAAGCCGCTTGATATCAACAAAAAATCCAACAATGTACAACCTCCAACTGAAGTATAACTCTCAAAGGGAAATTACATTTAACTTCCAGATTGAGACATACCCAATCCAAATTAAGCCTAGACATGGAGATCTGAAATTACTGGATACTGGGAATATGGCAAAAAAATCAATCAGAGGGCTAGGTGGTGCTGATTACAATCCTATCATATCTACACAAGACTGTCCTGGAAATAGGGGCTGGGGCAATGAGTTGTTGATTTGGGATGTGTTGTTTCAGGCCTAAACCTCTACCCTTCCTGGGATAGAGTGCCAGTGCAAAGGGGCTAAATTGGCCTCCCTCCACCCCAAGGTCTTGGTAATCTTATTTTGACATTGATAAACCAGGGGTGTGTTCATTAGTGCACACTGTAGCAAACATTTTTGCAACTAAAACTGGTTCTATTGGGGAAATTCAGGTAGGTCCCTCCCCATTTTGTCCTGTTTGCTTTCTAGTGAATACATCCTAGCTTCGGAAGAGTCTCATCAGGGAGCAGAAAGAATAGTTGGGTAGCACAGATAGATAACAGGAGTGTATTATTACAGATTTAGTTGGCCAACATTGAAAATCGGTTTCAAAACACTCATAAATTGACCTTTAGTTGATCAATTGACATGACTGAATGATGTAATTTTAATATAAGTAGAAACTTTTAAACAAATACTATAACATCCATCACTTCATTTCACCGTACTTTAATGTGTGTACAGAACTAGCCTGCCATCTACTGGGGAAGAACTGTTACTACATCTAAAGGTGCATCATGATCTTGCAAGCACCTTTAAAAATAAAAAATAAAAATTGTATTTATTTACTAGGCAAATCAATTAAGAACAAATTCTTATTTACAATGAAGGCCTACCACCTTATCAATGCCCTTGTAAATATAACCATCTTAGTTTTCCTTATGTGTGACCTCAACTAGTTGAATATTGACGTGTATTAAACAAAATAAATGTAACATTAAATGTGAGCTAAGATGGCCTTTATTTGTTTTATTTACAAAGAATACAAAACATAACTCCGAAACACTTTGGAGGCTTGAAACAGGAATGCATTCACACGTTACATTTCCTTGACAACACTCCCCTCCTCTTCATCTGGGATGGAGACACACACCTAGGACGCACAGCAGAACACAAACGTTTTAAAGATGTAAATTGACGGTTTGCCTAAAATGGCAACATAATTATAGAGGAAGAATTTACTCTGTAGTATCTAAACATCTGACGCTCATGCAAGTCAGTCAAGGAAGAATTCAATGGAATTCAAGCCTAGCAGGTAGTAAATCAGTTTAGTACATGACAAAGCACAGCAAATTGTTTATTTACCTCGTAAGAACGGAAGTCCCATTTCTCACTTGTGGTGAGTCTTCCTTCCAGAAGCAGCTTCGTTGCGGCCTTGTTTCAAACCCTATAAGAGACAAACAATTTAGACAGCTCCTTTTGCATTGAAAAACCTGTTTACTCCTGGTATTGAAGTCAAAAATTAATGTCCGATCAATCATCACACGTGATCCAATCACGACCCAGATTGTCTGAACGTGTACACAACCTAATGTATCCACATAGAAGCCGCAATGTGTATTAGATAGAGGATTATTACATTAGTAATAAGCTATTCCTATCTCATCTACAGTATGCAAGACATGATGTGAAGGGGATGTAACTGTACCATGTAGTATCCAGTGTGGTACCCACTCATGTACCAGGCGAGCAGCATACTGCCCAAGGATTCATCATCCTCTCTGTCTGGACTCATGGGGGGAGGGATCATCTGACAGAGAAAAAACAGCACGTTCAGACGGGGGAATCTTTCGTAACGTTGCAAATAAATGTACTAGAGAAACACTGCTCAATCAGCTCCATATGATGTGTGCTCGCTATCGGCAACACTAAACATTTGAGATACTTTTAAAAAATATATATTTTGTTTGTTTTTATTCAGACAGTAAGAAAGATCCGAGTGGGAGACGGGCAAGTGGAGAAACTGTGGGAAAGGTGGACGCAGGGATTGAACTCTGGTCTCCGGTGTAGAGTTGTATATGTGACTTATGCCGTGGACTGTTACCACGGTAACACAGCTCGGCACCAGAGAAAATATTACTGCACTCCATCATACCGGTGGCCCAAAGGGCATCATAGGAGGCCATCCTGGAGGGGCGGGCCTGGAGGCCCCAGGTCGCCTTGAGTCTCCCTGTAGACAGAACAACAGCTTCAATGTGCAGCACACTCCATTGTCAAAGGATTCATTCCATCCTCACCTACAGGGGTTTTATATTTCAATTCCCAGCTCGGCATCTTTAGCAACTTCCAAATTAAAACAAAATTCACCTAAATTCCATCATTTGTTAGTCCTTTTCTTACCTTGGAGTAATGCATTCTTACATTTACATTTAGGTCATTTAGCATTCAACTGGTAGCTAGGTAAGACAACCACATGTTAAAAAATAAAAATAAATAAATGCATGGTCGAATAGTGACTGACAACCTACAATTCGGATATGCTTACCATTCTGAAACCAGGCATGGGAGGGGGGCCTGGGGGAAAGCCAGGAAAGCCTGGACCTGACATGGGAGGTCCTTTGGGGGATTTGAATTTGGGTTTAGAGCGTGGCACGTGACTGTGAGGGTGTGGGGCGGACGACCTATCGCTCTCCTCTGTAGAAGACTCTGCTTCTTTAACCTGCATTCCAGAAAGAGAAATAGGAACACTGATTAAATGTTCCCAGCCAGATGTGTTCAAGGGTCTGAATACAAAATGATGGTCCACTAGCCTGGTGGAACCAGCCTGATCTAGTTCTTCACGTGCAGTAAAACAGTATGGTGAATGCAGCGATCATCCTCACAAACAGCCTAATCGTACCTTATTGGGGGCTTCCTCATCTACCTCTGAGCTCTCCATCAGAAGGTCTTGGAGGTTCTGCTCCTCCTCGTTGCCATAGTCTGTGAAGACAACTATACAGGTGCCCCTCTGCCCATCTATGGAGGAGATCGTGGCAGTGTACAAATTGCCATCTTCAGACCAGTAGGCACAGCAGGGGTCTCCGACTCTCCACTGCAACACAACAAATGTTGTCTATCTGTTAGGCTAGATGCATTAATGAACATTAACTGAGGTTATTTTGAATGGGTTGTTGTGTTCTTGGAATGTACCGCCTACCTCTTTATCGGGAGGAGCATTACTTCTCTTTCTGCTGCGGTTGTTTTTGTTGTTTTTTCGTTTCTTTCCAGGGTTGTCTCTCTCTGAGCTTTGTGTGTCCTCCTCACCTTTCAGGGCAGTCTGACAGTCAGGATCAATTGTTAAAAAAATTATTTAAAAATGTGAGCATGACAGAGGGATAATAGAACATTTTCAAGGATACTTTTCTGAGTTGCTGCTTTAGGAGACATGTCTACTACGACGCATGTACAGCTAGTGGTTCTCAACCTAAGTATAAATCCATATGAACAAAGAGGCAAATAAGACATGCTTTATTTGCAGAATACTGTCAATGAGTTGGCAAACAAAGTTATAACACTGTAAAGGCACCTTAAATGATGCAACTGCTTTGTCGTAGGCCTTTATCAGTGCAGTGTCATCCCAAATGTCAGAATCGTCACTCTGGGAAAATAAGAATATTAGTTTAAGAGCAATCCACCATCTGAGTAACTTTTACATAGCAAATGCTTTCTACTTAGCTACTAGCAAGACAGCTAACGTCAGTTACCTAAGATTCCATCTAGCTAGTCGTGATGCATTGGCACTGCTCTATATTTCATACTGTTACGTTTCAGACGAAGGTGTTGTCCCTAGCTCATGATAATCCCTGGTCTGGTCATCTAGGGGTGACTAAAACCTACGATCGAATACTCCATCATTTCTTCTGGCCGGGAATGAAACAGGATGTGGCTCGTTATTGCCGTACATGTAGTACGTGCCAAGTGGTGGGGAAGCCTAACCAGGTAATTTCCCCGGCTCCTCTCTGCCGGATTCCGGTCATGGGAGAGCTGTTTGAGAAAGTAATAAATCGATTGTGTTGGTCCATTACCCAGGACTATGTCGGGTAATCCATTCTTGTTAACGATAATGTGCACTGCGACATGGTACCCAGAGGCGATTCCTATGCGTAAACATCACCAGTAAAGCAATTGTGAAGGCGCTGATTAAGTATTTTTCTACCTTTGGATTTCCAAAAATCGTACAGACGGATCAAGGCACTAATTTTATATCGAGATTGTTTGGAAGTGTGTTGAAGTCCTTGTCAGTGTCCCATCAGATGTCTAGCGCTTACCACCCGGAGAGTCAGGGTGCGCTGGAACGTTGGCATCAGACGCTGAAAGCCAAGTGGCGTAAATACTGTATGGACACAGAAAAAGATTGGGATGAGGGGGTGCCGTACGTGCTGTTTGCTATTCGGGAGACCGTACAAGAGTCTCTTGGGTTTAGCCCAGCTGAGCTAATCTTTGGTCACACAGTGAGAGGGCCTCTAAAAGGTACTGAAATAACAAATTATGGTAATGTACTAGACTATGTTAATCAAGTCCGGGAGCGGTTGCATGATGCATGTGCTGTAGCCAGAGAAAATCTGTCTTCCACACAAAAGAAAATGAAACGTCACTTTGATGTAAAAACTGTGTCTCGTTCTTTTCAACCAGGTGACCAAGTCTTGGTGTAGTTGCCGGTACCTGGCTCGTGTCTCTATTCCAGTTTCTCTGGCCCATATGTGGTGGAGCGAAAACTCAGTGATACTGATTATGTTATCAAAACGCCAGACCGTAGACGCCCATTTCGGGTATGTCACATTAACATGATTAAAGCCTATCATTTTAGAGTTGGTATCGAATCCCCCATCACCAGTAAAAATCCTGTTGTATCCTCTGTTGCTTCTGTGAGCATGGTTACCCACCCAGGAGTCAGCGTAAATGATGAGGACGGTTTGGTGATGCAAAATACTCCTGAGCAGTTGGCTCGTTTATGTATTTCGCTATCACCCGGGTTTCCTGCCCCTGCCACTCGATGGGAATTGAGCAGATTCTTAGGCATGACGGGTTATTATCGTACATTTTGTAGGAATTTCTCAACTGTTGTAGCCCCAATGACTAGGTTACTCAGTTCTTCAGTGTCCTTTGAGTGGACCGCTGAGTGTCAATCTGCCTTTGACTCTGTAAAAGCACTATTGTGTATTTCTCCTGTTCTTTCTGCCCCTGATTTCAAGAAACCATTTAAGTTGGAGGTGGATGCCAGTTCAGTGGGTGCAGGTGCTGTACTATTACAGGAACACGATGGTCTAGATCACCCAGTTTGTTACTTCTCTCGCAAATTCAACATCTGTCAGTCACGTTATTCCACTATCGAACAGGAGACTCTGGCGCTGTTGTTTGCCTTACAATTCTTTTGAGGTTTGTTGGCTCCAGTGTGTTGCCTGTTGAGGTGTATACAGACCACAACCCTTACATTTTTTTGAGCCGCATGTACAACCACAACCAACGTCTTATGCGTTGGGCGTTGGTTATAATTTAGAAATTCATGATATAAAGGGTGCAGAAAATGTGGTTGCGGATGCTCTGTCACGTGCCTAGTTCAGAGAAAAAAATAAAATAATAGAACAGGGGTTTGACAACTATGAGTTGGAAGTAAGTACTTGGTATTATAAAAAAAAATATATATATATATATATATCATGTTCTTATCATAAACCCAGGGGTTTACTCTTTTTTTTTTTTGGGGGGTGGGGGGGGGGCGTGTTACGTGTGACATTATTTTCTTTCTCCCAATCTTCGTTTGTAGTGTGTGTGTGTGGTTCAGAGTGGTTGTTCTGTTTGTGTGTTCTGGTTATTACAGGTGTGCTGAGTTGCGGCTGACGATGGTGGGCGTGGCGTCGGTCCGGAGTCCTGGCAGCTGTGGTTGAGTGACTGATTGACTAGAGTATATAAACTGTTTGCCGTGTGAGCGCAAGGGAGAGAGGGGGCACTTTTTGTCTGAGGATTTGGTTATTGGGATTTATCTTTGTGTTCCAGCCTGTCCTCCTGATGTACTCCACCCTACCTGGGTCCTGGAGAAGGGAAAGGTAGTTCTGCCCATGGGTGTACATTCACACGTAGATAATCCACTGTTTTACACACTAGGTTAGCCGGGCGGGTGTCACCCCTGTATTTGTGGTAACAGGTAAGAAAGCGGGTTAAGGCTTAGAGTGTGTTAGGAAGGATTAGGTGTGTAGAAGAGGGACCTTTTGTTTATTTTCATTACTTGGACCCCGTTCCCAAACATTCCCTTCTCTTACCTTCCCTGGTTTGTTTGATTGGTCTTTGTTTTATTACTGTTAAATGGGTGTTGTATATTATGTTGTTTAGTACCTTACTAAACGTCCCCGAGGGCTAATATTGAGTTGTGGTTGTTGTGTCTGGTTATTTTAGTTAGTTACACCCCACATTTCTTCCCCATCCATCTAGTTTACTTTGTGTGCACAGGCATTTACTTCTCCTCCTCAGACGAGCTACACCCGAGGGGAGAACATAATTTAATTTTAATTTTAAATTTAACACATACATAATCAATGTCTCATAGCTAGATAACCACCTGGCCAGGCTAACTAGCAGCTAGTCATACAACATGGCCAGTTGATCATTTTTGATCCAATGTTAGTCACTTTCCTAGATCCCCGCTAGCCAGATATCTAATTGAAACTATTTTGGGAATTCCTTATCAGACTTGAGTGACTGATGCTGGCATATCTGCTGGCAAACTGACTTGTTACCACTAACAACAATGACAACTATAATGTATGCTATTTAGTCATGCGTGCATACATTTTACATATGGGTGGTCCCGGGAATCAAACCCACATGGTCTACCAACTGAGCCATACAGGACCATAACTAACCCGTTACTGAAACTCTGGTGCAGTGTTGGGGAGGCTACTCTGAAAATATAGTTTACCAAGATACTAGCTTAAACTCCACAGTGAAGGAAGTACCAAGATGCCAATTACTTAAAACGGGAATAAGTTAAGCTACACTAAAGCTCCCCTTTAAAAAATAGTTTACTTAGCTAACTAGAGTTAATTTGAAAAAGTAGTTCACTACATCCAAACTACTTTGTGAAACATTATACCAAAAAAGTTATTAAACTACTGAAAACACTACTGTACCAAAATTTGAATTTAGTTAAACTACCACCAAGCTAATGCAAAATGTAATTAAATTACAAGTTGAACTACATGTATCTAGTTCAATACTCCCCAACACTGCTCTTGTGCCAGGTTTATACCCAATAGCTAACGTTAGCTAGCTATTAACTAGCTAATGTTAGCTAGTTGGTATCTAGCGAGTCAGCAAACTACTAGCAAACCAATCTACGCACTTAGCTAGCTATGTCCTGACTGAGTAACTACATAAATGATAACTTACTTGTCCAGCTCCACGAGCAAAAAGCACATCTTTACACCCATTTGCCATGAATATGCAGAAATGTGGCTGCTCTCACAGCTTTGATCTTATTCAGCTACTGAAGCAACGTGCGTCGCTGGCGACGTTCCTAAATGATGATGACGTTGAAAATCTGCGACAAAATTGTTAGCACGTTGGCTTGGCAACCAACTAACAATTTTGTTTACCTAGCTAGCTAGCTAGATTTATAATTTGCAAGTCGTGATTTGTTGGCTAAAAAGATGATAGATCCTGCTTTAAGTTCTTTGGGTGCTCAGATTGTCTTGGCTGCGTCCAGTGATGAGAATCATCCTCCAGAAAACATTATTGACGGGTGAGACGTGTTTATTCTAAAGAGAAACCTCTATCAAAAAGATAGTTTAGAACCTCTGTGCCTATCTGGTTTGTTGTTAGCTAACGTTAGATAGCTAGCTATACTAACCTAAACTTCCTGTTTGTCACAGTAGCTAGCTAGCTCGTCAGATATGGTTTGTATTGTTGATAGCTAGCTACATGCTTTGTTGTTAAAATCAAGATAAAAGCTACTAGCTAGCTAGGTATGGTAGCGTGAGAAGAGCTAGCGAGCTATGTGGTGGTAACATCTCCTTAGTCTGTTAGTCTGCTACAGACACCCAACAATGTTTCCACACAAAGCCAACATCCTGCTGCTATACTATGTCATGTTACACCAGTCACTAACTCACAGCCAGCAGCACCATGCCACGCCACACCACACCATTAATTGGCCAGGTCGCAGTTGTAAATGAGAACTTCTCAACTGGCTTACCTGGTTAAATAAAGGTGAAAAAAATTAATAACTCACCACAGTCCATACCTTGATGAGTCACTTTCTCTCTTCTCAGGAACACTGAAACATTTTGGATGTCCACTGGAATGTTTCCACAGGAGTTCATAATCTGCTTTGCTGAATCTATGAAAATTGCCCTTGTGACAATGCACTGTTATAATGGTATGAAACAAGGTCAAAAGTAACTTATCAAATGGCACACTGTCTAGCTACTACAGCTTGATCATGTTGCTTGAAATGTATCTGTTATTTTGTTCTCGTTGTCTTTCAGTTAAGACTCTTAAAATTGAGAAGAGCATCTCAGATGATGCTACTGACTTTCTGGCTATTTCAGAAAAGGGTAAGCAAAGCTACTACGAATACACAGTGCCTCGAAGCAAATTAAGTCTGCCTTTCAAAGCAGTATTGTGATCTTCATTGCATCTTGTTTCAGAATTTGAACACACAGAGGGGCATCTTCAAACAAATGATATTCCAGTGAGTTGACTGCCTATTCTAATCTAATGTGCATAATGTTCTACATGGTACTACAACGTGTCTGCAAATGTCATATACTGTATATACACATGACTTTGAGTGATTAGAACTAGTCTTGTTTTTTTCTCTTTACAGTTAAATGTTTTTTCTCTTTACAGCTAAATGGAACGACTGCAACACACTTGCGCTTCATCATTACCTCTGGATATGACCATTTTGTCTCAGTACACAGGGTCAGTGTGGAGTGATGAAATATATATAGTACCTTCTCATAATGTATATCTCTACTTATTAAGGAGTTTGTCTGAATATCTAATATGTTTTACATTGTATTGTCTTTTTGTTGTTGTGTATATTTTTTAAAATAATGAAACAGGAGTTAATGTTACATCACCTGAGGCCCAATTAATAGTTTGTTTTATTCTACCTGTTCACCAAATCCAAATTGTAATACAATCTGTTGAATAAATCAGACTACAATTGTAATCTGAAAACAATTGCACTTGACTCAAAACATATGGTGACAGTTGATGAAATAAGGTTCTCCACCTGTAGACGTTTCATCTGTGTGTCCACCAGGTCACTATATTGTTGGGGGTCTTTCTTCACTCATGCATTTGTGTGCTGCAGAGGTAGCCTGGCCAAATAAGGATTTTCAGAATACATTTTAAGTTTACTAAACAGTGTGTTATTGTGGAATAATCTCACACTTCCTGTGAAGTGAAACGGTTTTAAAACCACAGGCTGAGATAACGCCCACTCCCCAATCTTATATTATTGCACAGTTAAAAATCTGCTTATGTGCGAGGATTCAATGTCACACTTTAATCAAAGTAGGCTATAACGTTAAGGCTTATGAAGGGCTTCATAATGACTTTATAGACCTACATATAGTCCTACATAGAGGGTTCGCAAATCATTATAGGCAAACATCATACTGCATAAATTGTGACATAAGTCCTTGTTGGTTTTATACAGTCACATCTTGTTGGTGTTATACACAGTCAATTGTTTTCACAGACTAGGGATAACACTCATTGATTTTACAAAGGCCTTGTATCGGCACTGAAGTTAGGGCAATCGTACTGGAGGGCAATATTCTAGATAATCACTGATTTGATACATATAGAAATGTATGGGGAAACATGTTACCTACATACTGTATAATGTGAAATCACACAACACAACCTGGTGGAGATTCAGAAGTCACCTGTTCTGAACCTGAAATCATTCCAGAACTTCAAAGCTTTACAGCCTTCGTTGTTGTAAAAGTTCAAAGGTTAGGATTCAGGCCAATGAGATAGAATCTCTTTTTACTTAAAGAAGGTTAAATATATAAAAATACATTTTAGTATGAGGTTTTCCCTGACTCCATGTTACGTGAATAAGAGCTTAAAAAAAGTGATTTGATTTTTATTTTATCCACCCGTCATCAAAAGAGAGGAGTAGATATCATCTATGACAAAGATAAGTGAGGGAGAGTGAATATGAAACCAGAGGAAGGAAAGAGGGAAAGATGAGAGTCAAGAGAGAGGAGAAGACAGTGAACATGTGAGGAAAGTTTAAAGTTGTCAATTGATCGATAATCAAGTAAATGTCCACTGCGTGTGTTAGAGGGATGCAAAACGGAAACATGAGGCTAATGTATGTTACTAAGTAAAAGACAACTCTGTAAAATGATTTAAATGTACATAGCCATACTATTTTTCAGAATATAAAAATATTTTTTCTGATGAAGCTGAGAATAAATATACATCTCAAGCTGAAGTACGATGTGCAAGTGTTTTACATTTGGGGAAAAATACATATGGATGTATTATTCAGTTGGATTCAATAAAATTAGAATTCTTCTTCTAAAATTACTTATAGAGTTCTGAAAGTGATTAAAAAGTAACCTGTACATTTGTAGTAAAAAAGGTAGTTTTATTTAATAGTATAATATGCATGATATAAAGTTACTTTCTGCTTCATGTTTTTATGCTATTTTCATAAAGAAATATAACTTCTAAATAGTATTTGTCTTTTAATGTAATAACAAAAACAATCAAGACCTGTAATATATATAAGCTGATGTTTAAGAGTATTATACATTTGTAAATGGTACTATTTGTAAATGTGGAGTAAATGCAGGGAGTACAAACCATACACACTTGTAGAATGACAAACCATACACACTTGTAGAATGACAAACCATACACACTTGTAGAATGACAAAGCAAAAGAAAGAAAATGCATGTAATGTCACATTCTTATGTACAAGAGTAGTAGTGTATTAAAACTTAAAGTGACTTAAAAAAGTTTTCTTCAAAAATACATTTACAAGTAGCATTTTAAATGTACGTGACATTAGCATAAAGCTATCAATTAGCATCAGATGTCCTGTAGGAATACCATGCCGCTTGGATAAAAAAAGCTTTAGATAAAACACAGATTATGCACACATACAGTAACACCAATACAGAAACAATAAAGACAGTCCCTTACTTTTCAGTTCATTAACGTAGAAAACACTGTTAAATGTACCAAGGAAGTGACACAGACAGTATTGCTTATCGTAACAATCATCAAAATAGTAGTTGTAGAGGGACTCATTGAGCCTGCAGACATCCCATCTGGCGGTCCCTCTCTTTCCCAGTCCTCCCTCTTGTGAAGGGAACGAAGGGGTCTTGGTGGTCCTCAACTGTGTTTTTCTGCCAGTTAGGAGTCTGTAACTGGATAGAACAGGAGACACTGTCTTCCACCACAACACAGCTGAGTTGGAAGGGGGGCAGGTGATTGCATGGAATCCAAGGGGAGTTTGTAAATTGTGTGTCTATTGAAGCTAAGGGAGTCTATGTATGTAGCAAGTATACTATGATGGTTTCACTGTAGGGGAACGAGTGTTCAGTCCCTGAGTGTGTATGTGTGTGTATGTGTGTGTGTCTAGATGGTCTCCACGTAATTGGCTGGAAAGAGTCCCTGGCGTCCATCTTTACTGCAGCCCCGCCACCAGGCCTTGTCCACAGTCTCCACCGCACTTATGATGTCACCTGGTTCAAATGAGATCTCTGATTCATCCTCTGTGAGAAAAGAGAAAGACTAGGTTTAACACTCAGAGAATCATAGTATGTCTGTGTGTGTGTGTGTGTCTGTGTGTGTGTGTAGGTGTGTGTGTGTAGGTGTGCATGGGTGTGTGGTCCATGGTATGAGTTACACTGAGAACTGACCTGCTTGGTAGTCATAGAGAGCTCTTACACACATCTGAAACAGAGAAAAACAATCATGAATGAAGGTCACCATTTTCCCCATTACAGAGCCCTTGCTTGGTTGTCATCTACATTACATTTATATTAAATTAGTCCATGTTCTTCAATCCTGGTCCTGGAGACCCAGAGGGGTGCAAGCTTTTTTTCTAGCCCAGCACTAACACACCTTTTATAACTTTTCAACTAATCATCAAGTCTTTGTATTAATACTGGGCTGGAACAAAGGTCTGCACACCGTGTGGGTCTCCATGACTAGGTTTGAAGCCCAGTAGTGAATAGGATGGCAGGGGGTAGGGGACATATGACTTTGTGTGTTGTGTAACAACCTCTTGTCCATTCTCTGAAATCTCCTGGACCTCATTCTCTTCAACAAAGTCCTCCTCCTCTTCATCAAAATGAACAGCCAATTCTGGAGTACCTTGCTCCCTTTCTGGTGGACTCATTGATCGCTCTGGAAAAGAGGAACCATGACAGTGGTTGGATTCTGGTTCCCTACCCTACGCTAAGCAAGTGTGTACTTTTCAATCCCCTTCATGGATTTAAAAATCCATGAGGAAGAGGATTCCTGGAAAAGGATAGGGAATTGCAATGTAGGCTTCTGGTATGTCTATTCTATGTTATCTCATCAACATAAAGGGTTCATTCAGTTTGAGAGCAACTTGGGCAATGTAGGCTAGCGTAGATCCCTATCAATGGATGAGCGGGGTAACATACCTGTACCATTGTGTTCCACCAACTCCTCCTCGTCTGTCACCCCATTGGTGGACGGGACCACAACCTTTTGTGTGATTAGCGGAATAATAACTTCTGCATCTGAAACATAACGTGTCAGTTGTGTCACACACCTTTTCCACAACCTTCTCTTAACATAAAACTCTTCTTCTCTTTCAATTGTTGTATTTAGCCTTAAATATATATACAGTGGGGGAAAAAAGTATTTAGTCAGCCACCAATTGTGCAAGTTCTCCCACTTAAAAAGATGAGAGAGGCCTGTAATTTTCATCATAGGTACATGTCAACTATGACAGACAAATTGAGGAAAAAAAATCCAGAAAATCACATTGTAGGATTTTTAATGAATTTATTTGCAAATGATGGTGGAAAATAAGTATTTGGTCACCTACAAACAAGCAAGATTTCTGGCTCTCACAGACCTGTAACTTCTTCTTTAAGAGGCTCCTCTGTCCTCCACTCGTTACCTGTATTAATGGCACCTGTTTGAACTTGTTATCAGTATAAAAGACACCTGTCCCCAACCTCAAACAGTCACACTCCAAACTCCACTATGGCCAAGACCAAAGAGCTGTCAAAGGACACCAGAAACAAAATTGTAGACCTGCACCAGGCTGGGAAGACTGAATCTGCAATAGGTAAGCAGCTTGGTTTGAAGAAATCAACTGTGGGAGCAATTATTAGGAAATGGAAGACATACAAGACCACTGATAATCTCCCTCGATCTGGGGCTCCACGCAAGATCTCACACCGTGGGGTCAAAATGATCACAAGAACGGTGAGCAAAAATCCCAGAACCACACGGGGGGACCTAGTGAATGACCTGCAGAGAGCTGGGACCAAAGTAACAAAGCCTACCATCAGTAACACACTACACCGCCAGGGACTCAAATCCTGCAGTGCCAGATGTGTCCCCCTGCTTAAGCCAGTACATGTCTGTCAAGATCGCCAATAAAGTAGGACCAAAGCGCAGCGTTGGGAGTGAACATGATGACTTTAATGTTGAAATAACGACAAAACAAAACACGATCCGTAACGTCCTCAGTACACCGACTGAACATAGAACAAAAACCCACAACCCCAAGGTGAACACAGACATATAAATATGGCTCCCAATCAGAGATAACGAGCCGACAGCTGACACTCGTTACCTCCGATTGGGAGTCACTGACCAAACATAGAACGCGAACACCTAGACACTACCCACAGTACACAACACACGGAAATCTACACACCCTGACTAAACACAAAAAGTCCTAGAACCAGAGTGTGACAGTACCCCCCCCCCAAAGGCGCGGACTGCGACCGCGCCTAACTACAAGCAAACAGGGGAGGGCTGGGTGGGCATTCCTCCTCGGCGGCGGCTCCGGCTCTGGCGGATCCCGGCTGGACGGCTCTGGCGGATCCTGGCTGGACGGCTCTGGCGGATCCTGGCTGGACGGCTCTGGCGGATCCCGGCTGGACGGCTCTGGCGGATCCCGGCTGGACGGCTCTGGCGGATCCCGGCTGGACGGCTCTGGCGGATCCCGGCTGGAAGGCTCTGGCGGATCCCGGCTGGAAGGCTCTGGCGGATCCCGGCTGGACGGCTCTGGCGTATCCCGGCTGGACGGCTCTGGCGGATCCCGGCTGGACGGCTCTGGCGGATCCTGGCTGGAAGGCTCTGGCGGATCCTGGCTGGCGGAAGGCTCTGGCTGGACAGGGTTGACGACGCACCCCGTAGGCTCGGTGCGTTGAGCAGGGACAGGCCGGGCTGGGCTGGCGAAACGCACCACAGACTTGGTGCGGGGCGCAGGAACAGGCCGAGCTGGGCTGGCGACGCACCCCGTAGGCTTGGTGCGTTGAGCAGGGACAGACAGAACCGCACTGGGGACACACACCCCTGGCCCTACACGGGGATCAGGAACGGGCCGGACCGGACTGGAAACACCCCCCAGTACCTCTCGCCGTGCCTCCACACTTTCCATCCCCTTCGTAACCAGTGGCCCCCTTAAACTGGCGGCCATATCTGCCAACCTCTTGCACTCCTCCGGGCCGTACACCTTCTGCCCCGACATCGTGAGCCCCCCCCTAAAAATTTTCTGGGGGTCTCTCCTCTCGGTGGACCAGGCCTCCATAGTCCTCTCCCAACCTTCGCTCTTCTGGCTCCACCACTCGTATTCCAACTGCTGCTTGGTCTCGTTGTGGTGGGTTTTTCTGTCAAGATCGGCAATAAAGTAGGACCAAAGCGCAGCGTTGGGAGTGAACATGATGACTTTAATGTTGAAATAACGACAAAACACGATCCGTAACGTCCTCAGTACACCGACTGAACATAGAACAAAAACCCACAACCCCAAGGTGAACACAGACATATAAATATGGCTCCCAATCAGAGATAACGAGCCGACAGCTGACACTCGTTACCTCCGATTGGGAGTCACTGACCAAACATAGAACGTGAACACCTAGACACTACCCACAGTACACAACACACGGAAATCTACACACCCTGACTAAACACAAAAAGTCCTAGAACCAGAGTGTGACAATGTCCAGGCCCATCTGAACTTTGCTAGAGTGCATTTGGATGATCCAGAAGAGGATTGGGAGAATGTCATATGGTCAGATGAAACCAAAATAGAACTTTTTGGTAAAAACTCAACTTGTCGTGTTTGGAGGACAAAGAATGCTGAGTTGCATCCAAAGAACACCATACCTACTGTGAAGCATGCAGGTGGAAACATCATGCTTTGGGGCTGTTTTTCTGCAAAGGGACCAGGACGACTGATCCGTGTAAAGGAAAGAATGAATGGGGCCATGTATCGTGAGATTTTGAGTGAAAACCTCCTTCCATCAGCAAGGGCATTGAAGATGAAACGTGGCTGGGTCTTTCAGCGTGACAATGATCCAAAACACACCGCCCGGGCAACGAAGGAGTGGCTTCGTAAGAAGCATTTCAAGGTCCTGGAGTGGCCTAGCCAGTCTCCAGATCTCAACCCCATAGAAAATCTTTGGAAGGAGTTGAAAGTCTGTGTTGCCCAGCGACAGCCCCAAAACATCACTGCTCTAGAGGAGATCTGCATGGAGGAATGGGCCAAAATACCAGCAACAGTGTGTGAAAACCTTGTGAAGACTTACAGAAAACGTTTGACCTGTGTCATTGCCAACAAAGGGTATATAACAAAGTATTGAGAAACTTTTGTTATTGACCAAATACTTATTTTCCACCATAATTTGCAAATAAATTCATAAAAAATCCTACAATGTGATTTTCTGGATTTTTTTTCCTCATTTTGTCTGTCATAGTTGACGTGTACCTATGATGAAAATTACAGGCCTCTCTCATCTTTTTAAGTGGGAGAACTTGCACAATTGGTGGCTGACTAAATACTTTTTTGCCCCACTGTATATATATATATATATATATATATATATATATAATAGGACAGGACTATACGAGATACAAAAAAACATACAAAGTATACCTGTTCCAGCTGGCTCCTCCTCCTCTTCTGAAAGCTCAACCAGGAATGGCTCAGCAGAGGCCTGACTGTAATCTGATTGGCCCTTCTCTTGTCCAGCTTCCTCTGCTTCCTCTCCTTCCTCTGCCATAGGCTCCTGCACTGATGTAGGGTCTGAATCCTGTGCTGAGCCCTCCCCTCTTTCCTCCATATTTGGGTTTGGCTCTGTACTCTCAATGCTGGGCTCTGGCTCTGCCTGGTCTTCATCATCATCTTCCTCTTCCTCCACCAGTACAACTTGTACAGCTGTGTACTGCTCTGGATGAGAGAGAATGAACCATTGTTGTTTTAAGTGCAGCCAAGGCAAACTGAGAACCAACTCTATAATGGTCATTCTACAGTAGGCTGTGTGTATGATGGGGACCTACCTGTTGGATGCAGTGGACTCTCTGACAGAGGGGCAGTGGGAGGCTGTGGTGCTGAGGCAGGCTCCAGGGAGATTAGGGGATAGGGGAAGCACTCAGGCTGGGACTGGGGAGAGGGGGGCAGGAACTGGGCCTGGGGCTGGTTCTCTAGAGGAGAGGTGGGGGACAGGGTGGCGAGGAGGTCTGGAGAGGCTGGGGGGGCAAAGGTCTGAGTTTGGGACTGAGACTGGGGGCTGGGTGATGGGAGAGTAGCCTGGGCTGAGACAGGCGGGGCAGAGTGGAGGGGCGATTTGGGAGGGGACACCAGGGGTGCGCGAGGGCTCTGGGGAGAGGTGATTGGGCGGAAGATGGAGCTGGATGGGGACATGGTGCGGTGGAAGGGGGAGGATGGGATGCGGAAGAAGGGTGAGACCAATGTGGGGCTGCGGGGGGAAGTGGGGGTGGGGCTGTCCGATTTCCCAAAGATGAATGCTGTGTCAGTCAGACTGCGCTGGTACCGCCTTAATGGAGGTTTGCCTGTGGGGGGGGGGGGGGGGGGGGAGAGAGAGAGGAGAGAGAGAGAGAGAGAGATGAGAGAGAGAGAGAGGAGAGGAGCAGGGAGAGAGAGAGAGATAGGAGAGAGAGAGAGGAGAGAGAGAGAGGGAGAGAGAGAGAGAGAGAGGAAGGATGAGCAACATTAAGAAATACACTGACAGATAATGGTTGTTTAGGTTCATGCATGATTGACTGTTACTGGCTTCATAATCACACATTGGGTAGAGACACTTCTTGGTTTGTCAATGCTTATAAACACACACACCACACACACACACACACACACAACACACACACGACTTACCTGTGCGGGGGGAGCCGGGGCTGGATGGGTTATTGGACGATGCTGATGACAGCTGTCTGAAGAACTCTCTGGGGTTCATGGAGCGCTGTGATACCAGCATTGCTGCCTCCTGCAGATAGGATGAGGAATCACACCACACTATGCTTTATTGAATGATGTAAAGGAAACTACAGGTCTCAATAGTCTAAAGCTGCCTCGTCTACTCCTTCCTCTCCTTCATTCCTTTCCTTCATCTGCGCTGGCGTGACAGAAGCTGAGAGGTTCCTATAAAAGGCCATATTCCTTTGACCTATGCTGTGTTTTCAGATCTGTGCAGATGGAAGCCACTTCAGAGTTTATATGGAGTAGAGAGGTCAGTAAGAGACTCACTGCTGCTTTCTCGATGGACTCGCTGCGTCTGAAGCGAGCTCTCATTTCCTCCTCATGCTCTCTCTGCTGCAGCTCCTGCCACACCCCAACAGAGGTCAGAGTTCAGACACACGAGTTCAGACAGTTCAGTAGCCCAATAACTTCCTCACTAATTTGTTCTTTGCCTCACCCATCTTGATTTCTCCAGTTTCCTCACATCTGCCTCCAGCTGGGCCTGCATTGTCCTGAGAGATACAGAGATGTCAGACCTTATAGGCCTTACGTAGACTTTACAATTGTGACAACCCATTAAATACCTGATATGGCCACAAGAAGATACCCTTGAGTCAGAGATTGTTTGAGTCTTGAGTCAGTGTGTGTGTCTGTCTGTCTGTCTGTCTGTCTGTGTATGTGTGTGTGTGTCGGTGTCTGTGTGTGTATGTGTCTGTGTGTGTCTGTGTGTGTGTGTGTGTGTGTGTCTGTGTGTGTGTGTGTCTGTGTCCTGACCTCTGCTCTTCGATCATCTGTAGTTTCTCCTTCATTTTCCTCTCCCTCTCGTCAGCCTCTTTCCGTTCCTTCAGAACTCTTTCTTTCTCCCAACGCCGTCTGTCCTCCAATGCACGCTTCCTCTCCTCCTCCTTCCTACGTTCCTCCTCACGCTAAGAGAGAGAGAGAGAGAGAAAGAGAAAATTGATTACTAGAAAAACGGTCTAAGCTATGAGGTTAACTGTGACTGTGTGCCTGTGTAAACTACCTCTGCACGTGCCCAGAAGGAGTCTCTATTGGCGCGTCTCATCTCCATGGCAGCGTTAGTCTTCCTGTAGTTAGTGCCCTGTCAAAAGGGAGATACAGACGAAGAGGAGAGAGAGTGTTAATGGAGAACAACACTGTATGAACACATAACACACAGTTTGTAACTTATGCTATTGGCAAGGAGCTTTGGTTGTTTTTTTAACTCGTGATTTATCAAGTATGAAAAAATTGAAAAACATACAGTAAGTACACAGAAAGTACAATTCATGACAAGAGATTAAAACAGAGAATCTGAACGTGTGGCCCCCTCAATGTAAAAGCACAGTTCCAGGTTGTGTCTAGGTGTTAGTGCCCCCTCTTGTGGACATATATGGTATTGCAGGGGGAGCGCTCACCACTGTCTCCTCCTTGTCCTTTGACCGACTGCTTCTTCTGACTTGCTCTGTCGGGGGACGGACTTTATTGAGCTCAGCGCCTATCTTCTCCTCTGTCACATCCTCCTTACTCTCAGCACTGATAAACACATAGGCATCCTGAGCGAGAGAGAGCGAGCGAGAGCGAGAGAGAGAGAGAGAGAGAGAGAGAGAGATGAACTACAATGGGGACCTGCTACACAGGCATCTGATGTCAAGTCTATAATGCACTATTGTGACAGGTTGGTTGCTGCGTGTTTATCTCTGCCCCAGACAGTGCTCTAATGAACAAGCTCCTGTGGTCCTCTGTAGCTCAGCTGGTAGAGCACGGCGCTTGTAACGCCAAGGTAGTGGGTTCGATCCCCGGGACCACCCATACACAAAAATGTATGCACGCACGACTGTAAGTCGCTTTGGATAAAAGCGTCTGCTAAATGGCATATTATTATTATAAGCTTGTACTGAAACATGTCAGCATGAAAGATTATTGAAGGGAATCAAGTTGATGTCCTGAACATCCTTTAACATTCCAAGCGAGGACAACCTTCTGCTGTAAAATGTGTGAAACCTCATCACTCAGATACAATTCTGCTCCAGCATTCCAAACGAGAGAAAGGGATATTTTCCCTCCTTTTTCATTTACCCCCTGACCCCCCGAAAACATATGTGCACACACACGCACAAACACATACATACACACACACACACTCGAAAACACACACTCTGAAGTAGTTCTTTGAAAGATTTTACCCCCAGTGGTTTCCTCTTGGCTGTGGACTTAACAGCTTTAGTGATGAGGACAGACAGAGAACAAAACAAGTCTCTGGCTTACACTAGAGAAGACAGGACGGAACGTATTGGTTTGGAAGAGATAGACAGAGAGGGGAGAGGTAAGAGAGAGGGGTAGAAATGGGAGATGGTGTGTAGGGGGGAGGAAGGGAGAATTCAGAGAAAGCATAAGGAAAGTGAAACAGTTGTTGCATATGAGATGAGGGGAGTGTGGAAAGAGCAGATAGGATGCAGAGATTCAACAATGACGAATGACCACCCCGGACCAGAAAGAGACAGTGATATAGAGGTCGACGTGCCCTCTATCTGCCTCTACCCTCTGTTCTATTGGGGAATGTACAATCACTGGAGAAAAAACTGGATGAGCTCCGTTCCAGACTATCCTATCAACGGGACCTGAGGAACTAATATCCTATGTTTCTCGGAAACTTGGCTGAGGTGTCTAAGGTTCTGCATCGCCGTACTTGAGGCGTCACTACAGACCCAGGTTCGATCCCAGGCTGTGTCACAACCGGCCGTGACCGGGAGTCCCATAGAGTGGCGCACAATTGGCCCAGCATCGTCCATGTTTGGCCGGGGTGCTTTACTTGGCTCATTGCGCTCTAGCGACTCCTTGTGGCGGGCCGGGCGCCTGCAGGCGGACTTCACTCGTCAGTTAAATAGTGTTTCCTCTGACACATTGGTGCGGCTGGCTTCCGGGTTAAGCGGGCGGGTGTTAAGAAGTGCGGTTTGGCGGGTCATGTTTCGGAGGACGCATGACTCGACCTTCGCCTCTCCCTAGCCTATTGGGGAGTTGCAGCGATGAGACAATATCGTAAATCGGATCGCAATTGGATATCACGAAATTGAAAAAATATAAATAAATATATATACCCTACCAGTCAAAAGTTTGGACACACCTACTCATTCAAGGGTTTTTCTTTATTTGTACTATTTTTACATTGTAGAATAATAGTGAATATATAAAAACTTTGAAATAACACATATGGAATCATGTAGTAACCAAAAAAGGGTTAAACAAATCAAAATATATTTTATATTTGAGATTCTTCAAATAGCCACCCTTGATGACAGCTTTGCACACTCTTGGCATTCTCTCAACCAGCTTCACCTGGAATGCTTTTCCAACAGTCTTGAAGGAGTTCCCACATATGCTGAGCACTTGTTGGCTGCTTTTCCTTCACTCTGCAATCCGACTCATCCCAAACCACCTCAATTGGGTTGAGGTCGGGGGATTGTGGAGGCCAGGTCATCTGATGCAGCACTCCATCACTCTCCTTCTTGGTCAAATAGCCCTTATACAGCCTGGAGGTGTGTTGGGTCATTGACCTGTTGAAAAACAAATGATAGTCCCACTAAGCCCAAACCAGATGGAATGGCTTATCGCTGCAGGATGTTGTGGTAGCCATGCTGGTTAAGTGTGCCTTGAATTGTAAATAAATCACAGACAGTGTCACCAGCAAAGCAACCCCACACCATAACACCTCCTCCTCCATGCTTTACGGTGGGAAATACACATGCGGAGATCATCCGTTCACCCACACCGCATCTCACAAAGACATGGCAGTTGGAACCAAAAATCTCAAATTTGGACTCCAAACCATAAGGACAAATTTCCACCAGTCTAATGTCCATTGCTCGTGTTTCTTGGCCCAAGCAAGTCTCTTCTTATTATTTGTGTCCTTTAGTAGTGCTTTCTTTGCAGCAATTCGACCATGAAGGCCTGATTCACACAGTCTCCTCTGAACAATTGATGTTGAGATGTGTCTGTTACTTGAACTCTGTGAAGCATTTATTTGGGGTGCAATTTCTGAGGCTGGTAACTCTAATGAACTTATTCTCTGCAGCAGAGGTAACTCTGGGTCTTCCATTCCTGTGGCGGTCCTCATGAGAGCCAGTTTCATCATAGCGCTTGATGGTTTTTGCGACTGTACTTTAAGAAACGTTCAAAGTTCTTGAAATGTGTCAAAGTAATGATGGACTGTCGTTTCTCTTCGCTTATTTGAGCTGTTCTTGTCAGAATATGGATTTGGTCTTTTACCAAATAGGGCTATCTTCTGTATACCCCCACTACCTTGTCACAACACAACTGATTGGCTCAAACACATTATGAACTTTTAAGAAGGCACACCTGTTAATTGAAATGCATTCCAGGTGACTACCTCATGAAGCTGGTTGAGAGAATGCCAAGAGTGTGCAAAGCTGTCATCAAGGCAAAGGGTGGCTATTTGAAGAATCTCAAATGTAAAATATATTTTCATTTGTTTCACACTTTTCTGGTTACTACATGATTCCATATGTGTTATTTCATAGTTCTGATGTCTTCACTATTATTCTACAATGTAGAAAATAGTTAAAATAAAGAAAAACCCTTGAATGAGTAGGTGTGTCAAAACTTTTGACTGGTACTGTATATACACTGCTAAAAAAAATTAAGGGAACACTAAAATAACACATCCTAGATCTGAATGAATGAAATAATCTTATTAAATACTTTTTTCTTTACATAGTTGAATGTGCTGACAACAAAATCACACAAAAATGATCAATGGAAATCAAATTTATCAACCCATGGAGGTCTGGAGTTCTCCCGAGTGGCGCAGTGGTCTAAGGCACTGCATCGCAGTGCTAGCTGTGCCACTAGAGATCCTGGTTCGAATCCAGGCTCTGTCGTAGCTGGCCGCGACCGGGAGACCCATGGGGCGGCGCACAATTGGCCAGGGTAGGGGAGGGAATGGCCGGCAGGGATGTAGAGCATGGCGTTTGCAACGCCAGGGTTGTGGGTTCGTTTCCCACGGGGGGCCAGTATAAAAATAATAATAATGTATGCACTCACTAACTGTAAGTCGCTCTGGATAAGAGCGTCTGCTAAATGACTAAAATGTAAATGGATTTGGAGTCACCCTCAAAATTAAAGTGGAAAACCACACTACAGGCTGATCTAACTTTGATGTAATGTCCTAAAAACAAGTCAAAATCAGGCTCAGTAGTGTGTGTGGCCTCCACGTGCCTGTATGACCTCCCTACAACGCGCCTGGGCATGCTCCTGATGAGGTGGCGGATGGTCTCCTGAGGGATCTCCTCCCAGACCTGGACTAAAGCATCCGCCAACTCCTGGACAGTCTGTGGTGCAACGTGGCGTTGGTGGATGGAGCGAGACATGATGTCCCAGATGTGCTCAATTGGATTCAGGTCTGGGGAACGGGCGGGCCAGTCCATAGCATCAATGCCTTCCTCTTGCAGGAACTGCTGACACACTCCAGCCACATGAGGTCTAGCATTGTCT